TTCTTTCCTTTCTTTATGATTTAGTTGTGCAAATCATTTTTAATTGTTCAGTCTTTGCCATTTTATAATCTGCATATGTCTCATCGCAAAAAGAGTCAGATTCCTTTTGTTCAATTTTGTATTACTGTCTGCCCTGATAGTGAGGAAGTAGAACTAGGTTTCTTTGTTAATATCGCCACCATGTGGTGAACTAGGCAAATATTCTATTTCCATTGTTTAGACACAGTAATTACATTAAATCCATTTTTATCTATCCACTAGCAGATTATCTTATGAACTATTTAATTATATAGAAAAAACATTGTGACAATCTGCACAAAAGTTATTGATAAAGGCTATATTCTAGTTCTATCACAGTTGAGTTATGAACGACTGAGGGCATATCCACTGGCTCTTTAGGTGGCTTCTGTTATGTGCCCATGTATATCAAGTCTAAACCTATGTAAGAAAATAATTTTTGCATTGGGAAACTTTGGCAACACCTTTCAAGGCATTCAGTTTGGACGAAGGGCATCCTCCCACTAGACAAAAACAGAACCCTGACATCCTGGAGATAAACTGTTTCATCTTCTCCCCTCAAGACACAACTGTAGGGCACTGCATGCCAAAACAACTAGACATAAAGATAGCTTTTTCCCCTATGCCACCACTCTGCTAAACACCTAACTCGCACAGCATTATCTTATGCCTAAAGATATTTACCTATGCTGTAGGCTGTATTGCTATCATCGTTGGCATCTTCTCATCTTTCTCACCTCTCAACTTTCCTACTACTTTCTCCTATTGGTATAATATGGTTTATCAATTGTTCATATCCTATGATTTATAATTGTATCTTATGATTTATTATCTATAAGCTATCTCTTTGTTGTTTGCATATACTTTTGAGAGCTAATGCACTGGAGATAAATTCCTTGTGTGTCCACTTGGCTATTCTGTTATTTCTATTATGTTCTGTTATTTCATTTGCTATTATGCCTTCCCAATTTTTGTGTGGCTGCATGTACAACAAAGAGAGAAAGAGAGAGTCATTGCCTCCTTGCTAGATATCAGAGAGAGAGAGAGATTGGCCCAAGATCATCTTTCTACCTTACTGTTTCAGAAAAGCAATTGTTTGTTACATTCCTTTCTGGGTGTCTTTACCACTCACTTCCCCAAAACCTGACCTGTTTAAGCGTTAAATCACTTGTATCACTCTCCACCAATCAGAGTTAAGCCTTGATCATGAGCTGCATTATAAACCCTTCTATTTCTAATCAATGTGCTCAAATTTCATTTAAATCGTTTTTCACTCGGTCCCCATTCCTTCCCTCAAACACCCATTCAACCTCCTGCAAAATTTTATTTTTTATTTATAAAATTCATTAGAGCGGTGTGGTGGCCTAGAAGTGAAGATGCTTGCCTCCCATTCAAAAGGTTGAGAGTTCAATCCTAGGCAGTGACAGATGTTTTTCTATCAGGGCACAAAGAGAAAATATCTGCTGCAAATAGAAGATCTGTCAGCTCTAGGTGGATTCAAATCACAGGGTCCTGATGGATTACATTACAGAATTCTGAGGGAACTGGCAGACATAATCTCAGAACCATTGACCCATATCTTTCAAAGTTCTTGGAGCATCAGGGAACTACTGAAGACTGGAAAAGAGCTGATGTGGTCCCCATCTTCAATAAAGGGGGAAAAAACAGATCCAGGAAATTACAGACCAGTCAGCTGACATCAATACCTGGGAAGATTTCAGAAAAGTTAATCAAGCAACAAATCTGTGAACAGCTAGAAACAAACAAGGTTACAACCAGAAGCCAACATGGGTTCGTCAAAAACAGATCAGATCATGCCAAACAACTCTTATTTCATTCTTCGACAAAGTGACCAAATTAGTAGATCAGTGAAATGCTGTGGACGTAATATACTTAGATTTCAATAAAGCATTTAATAAAGTATCCACTTCTTGGCAAGCTAGAAAAATGTGGGATAGACAGCAGCACCACCAGATGGGTTTGTAGCTGGTTGACAAATTGTCATTAATGGAACTACTGTACATTCACATAGAGCAAGTAAGCAGTGGGGTACCCCAAAGTTTCATTTTAGGTTTAGTACTCTGCAATACCTTCATAAATAATCTGGATGAGGAAATAGAAGGGGAACTCATCAAATTTCCAGATGATAATAAGATGGCAGGAAAAGCCAAGACCCCAGAAAACAAACTCAAGATCCAAAAAGATCTTGGCAGCCTTGAACACTAGGTCTTATCTAACAAAATGAAATTCAATGCAGATAAAAGTAAGATTTTACACTTAGAAAAATCAACTGTGTAGTAAAGACTAGGTAAAACTTGGCTTAATGCCAATAACCGTGAGAAGGATCTTGGATTCCTAGTGGACAATCACTTAAATATGAGCCAACAGTGTGCAGCAGCAGTCAAAAAAACCAGTACAATCCTGGGCTGCATTAATAGAGGCCAGAATTAAGATCATGTAATGTTCAAGTACCATCTTACAAAGCCTTCGTAAGACCACACTTGGAATATTGCATCCAGTTCTGATCACCACAATAATAATAAAAAAGATGTTGAGATACTGGAAAGAGTGCAAAGGAGAGGGGCTGGAGGCAGAAACATACAAAGAACAGTTACAGGACTTGGGTATAGTCTAATGAGAAGGAATGACATGATAGCAGCATTCCAATATTTGAGGGGCTCCTACAAAGATAACAGGGTCAAACTATTTTACAAAACACCAAAAGGCAAGAAACAAAATAATGGATGGACATTAACCAAGGAGAGAAGCACCATAGAACTAAGGAGAAATTTCCTAACGGTGAGAGCAATCGACCAATGGAATACTTGTCTTCAGAAGTTGTGGGTTTTCTATCACTAGAGGCTTTCAAAAAGAGACAGGACAACCATTTGTCTGAAATGATATAGGGTCTCCTGCTCAAGCAGGGGGTTGGACTAGAACAGGTGTCCCCAAAGCCCAGTCCATGGACTGGTATCGGGCCGCAGCATGCCAGCAACCGGTCCACACAAATAAGCAAAGCGCCATCCATGGGAGACAGGCAGCACACAAAACCACACATTCTCTGGTTGGTGGAAAAACCTTTCTGCACGGAACCGGTCCCTGGTGCCCAAAAAGTTGGGGACCTCTGGACTAGAAGACCTCCGAGGTCCCTTTCAACTCT